CTCGTCGAGTTCATCACCAAAATCATCCAACTCGTCGAGTCCAATCATAGGACTCGTCGAGTACAGCAGTCAGAGTCTAGAATTGCAATTTTTCCAGCTTTGAAAATAACACAATTGCATCAATATAGTAGAAAACACCCTAGGCTCTGATACCACTGTTGGGTTTTAAGTACTATAACACTCCTATGGTGCACATACAACCCTAGATGCTTTGGAACTAAGTTTTCTCTAATTATACATGAAATTTCATTTTCCAAAGCATATACCCTAACTAGCATGCAATTGGAGATGTACAACATAAAAACTAGTTAGAAGAATACCTCTTATTTGTAGCTTGTGGTTCTTGGCCTTTCAAAAGCTTAGCACCTAAAATATGATGCCTCTAATGTGTCACAAACACCAAAAGGAAGAGGAGGCTTATGAGAGAGAGGCTAGGAAGCACATAATCGGTTATGGTTCTCCTTTAGGAAGCCTTAGCCGATTTTAGGTGTTAAGGGGTTACTTTTATAGTGTGACATTGCTAGGGTTTCTTCCATGCAAACCCTAATTCACCATGACTCTTCATATTTCTTATGCCCTTTGGATTAAACCTTCATGGACTCTCATATAGGTTTAGCCCATCCCTAATCAACATGGATTATTAGCCCAAACTATAAGTATTACTGCTTTACTTAATCAGTCCCCGCAAATTTAATCAGTTTCTTTTTAGCACTAAATTAATTCCAAATTAATTCTTGATGAATACTAATTAAATAATATGATTTTTCAATTAATATATTATTCATATAATATATTAATAAATCATAAATAACCTCTTTCTCAAATATCCATCCTGTCAAATTGCTCCGGTGAAGGCAACCCAAAAGGACCATGCTACTATCGGGTCAAGTAAATACCAATTATAGTTATGGGCTTAGACACCTAATCGAACAAAGACAAGATAGCCTAAGAAAAATGAGAAGACCCCAGGATGGAAGGACAAGTCCAAGTGGTGTGCTTACCACGAAGACTTCAGACATCTTACTGAAGACTGCTTTTCTCTAAAAAAAAGAGATTAGTTATCTATTGAGCAAAGGATATTTGAAAGAAATATTTGGAAGAAAATCACAAGACTACCCTAAGATCCCAGGATCTTGAAACTCTTCCGCAAAAAATAGCATCTCCTCCCTCGGATGCCAAGGTAATTGACTTTATCTCTGGTGGATTTGACATTTGTGGAACCTCTTATTCTGCAGCCAAGAGACATGGAAGAAGTTCCAAGATGGAGATCTATTTTGACGAAGATGACTGCGAAAATGTCCTCAACCCACATCATGATCTTCCAGTCGTAACACTATATGTGGCTAACCACTTTGTTCGAGTCTATTTCACCCCTACTACTACCACATAATATCATAACAAGTATCACATAGTCATCAGGCAAATACATGCATAACTGACAATTGTCACAAAGACAATCATCACACTACATCATAAACTAGTGGGCCGACATTGGTACCTTCCTCCCATGAATACTACAAAGGAAAACTCACCTCAGACTGTGGGTATCAAATCACACTCAACAGATGACTCGCGAACTCCCTCCCTATCACACAAGCATGAAATCCTAATTAGAAATTAGGTCACATTCTAACTCGAAGGTCCAAAACCCTAATTCTTGACTTAAGGAAAAACGAGATCCTTTACCTTTGCCTTATTGGGCCTCCTTTCCTCCTAGGCCCAAATCCATAAAAACCCAAAAAAGGCATCCAAGCCCACTATAGGGCCTCTATGGCCCAATATGGCCCAAGAACACCTAACTTGGTCTAAGGCCCAAAAAATGGTCTGCTACAATCTGGTGGGCCCGAGGCCCAACTCACACAAGTCCAAAGTCCAACACCAAATGAGACCAAAATATTCTAAGCCTAATGATCGCATACGCACGACGTACTTGGCTTGTACGTCCAGCGTACGCTGGTGTTGACCCGGAGTCAAGGTGCTGACCCAGTACGTGCAACGTACACTGGAGTACGCATCGTGTACCAGTCTGCCAACCCAAACACACTTCCAAGACTTAATCCATTAAGTCCTAACGTCCAAAACATAGATCCAAGTCCCAAATAACGTCTTAATCCATAAAGTTGCAAACGTTATGGTTTTGCATGCAAGGATGGGGCTCAAATCATGAATTAAGTCCACTTACTCACTTGGATGGATACTAACACTTGCATGGTTGAGCCCTAACCATCAACATAAGATTTGTATGACTCAAACACCTCCAATAGTCCAAAAGGACAGTGCATATGGTCTGAAGTTTCTCATACCCCAATAATCCAAACTATGGGATCAAAAGATACCATTTTCTACCCTAAACCTAGATCTAAGCTTGAAATGATCAAGGTTCAGACTTTATACCTTCAATGGGCTAGAAATGGTGCCAAACTTCTAGATCTACAAGCTCCTTCATCGTCCTTGCTTCTTCCCAAGCTTCCGTCTCCTTCAAGGTCACTAAAGAACACCACATACACACAAGAAAGCTCACAAAGGCACTCATGGTGGCTTAGGGTTCGATATTTTCACTACAAGAGCAATGGAGGATGAAAAGGTAAGGGAATCGAGGGACTTAAGGTACTTAAATAGGGTGCAAACTCTAAAAATTAGGGTTTTCCCCTGGCTTGGTTACGCCCAGCGTACGCATGGGTATGCCCAGCTTATGCCGAGGATCCCCCCGATGGCGTGCATGCAGCGAGTATGCCATGCCTACATAATGTACGCCCAAACGTACTCACCATCCTTCCACCACCTTAACTTGAATTGAAAAATAGACTAAGTCAGAAACTTCATACCTGGCGACTCGGGTGCTACAGTAACTAAACCTTTGATTAAAATCCCAATCCTAGTTACTTTAGGAAAAATGTGAATTTGTATGCTAACCCATGAAATTTCACATTATACTTTATAGTAGTTAGTGGAGCGCACGTGGTTAACTGGCACACTAATAGTGACTATAAAGAGTAATAATGGGCATCTTGAAATTTATCATTGATTAATGGAGCGTGTGTGGTTAACCGACACATTAAAATGAGATGATAAATGACCTCAAGATTGCCAAGATAATTTCCATGGTTATTCACATCTTATTTGTGATCTTTGGTATCCCAATCACAAATGGAAGAGCATAATCTGAGATTAAACATGCCTTTAAATAGTTTCAATGAATCTCAAAAGATCTAGGAATTTCACTTAACTTAATTTTCTTCAAATTTTCTTTTCTAATGGTGGAATTGGTAAATCGTCATTTGCCTACCTTTATAAAATTTACAATTAGATTACGACATCTCTTTTACAAGATGTGAATTTTTTAGTTGGATCCTAGTCTTAATATATCATTTTTGGGCTGTTATATTAAGGATTGTTCTTATTTAAATAAAACTACCTTTCTTTTACAGATGTCTACTTCAAATGATGCTTCTGGTTCCTCCTCCTACTCCCATAACTTTTCCTTGTTAAACATCTGCTCCAAGGTGACATTAGATGACACTAACTACAACGAATGGATGCACAACATCAAGATGCCCCTTCGTTTTGAGGACAAGGAATATGTCCTTGAGAAAGAATTGAATGAAATTGACGAAGAGAAGGCCACTCCTGAAGAACTAGCCGCCTATAAGAAGCACTAAAATGATGCGACAAAAATTTCTTGCATCATGGTAGCCACCATGACTCCTGAATTGCAAAGATTCTATGAGGATTACTGGCCGTACGAGAAGAAGAAGGGCGTTATGGAGAAGTACCATACGCGAGTTCGTCAAGAAAAGTATGAGGTGGTAAAGTACCTCATAGAAAGAAAAATGAAAGAGGGGGAGTCTGTTAGCAGCCACGTGTAAAGGATGCAACGGTACGTGGATCGCCTTGTTAGTCTTAATGTGCATTTTGAAGAGGAGTTGGATATTTACATAGTCTTGAACTCCTTACCAAGTTGTTATGATCAGTTCATCTTGACCTATCATCTGAACAACAATGAGACCACCTTGGCTCAATTACACAACTTTATGCGATCAATTGAAGCAGGATGAAAGGAAAGAGTATTACCTCCACTCCTGCTAGTGCTCCCATTCTGGCCATTGGTAAAGGGAAAGGGAAAAAGAGGAAAGGTTCACCAAAGAAAAACTGGAAGGGAAAGTCTCAAGTTGATTCGTCAAGCAATGAACCCAAAGATAAATCCAGTTCTGATGCTCCTCCTGTCTCTGATCCCAAAGATGCCACTTGCTTTTATTTCAATGAAAAAGGGCATTGGAAATGAAGTTGCCCAAAGAATCTGCAAGACATTAAATATGGCAAGGTGAAGCCGACTTCTGCAGTTATATACACTATATTATCTAATAACTCATCATCTTCTTGTTCTTGGGTCCTTGATACAGGATGTGAATTTCACATTTGTTCCACTACTAGAAAACAGCCCTTTAATGACGCGCAAACAATGACACGCGCTGATAGAGGGCGCGCATTTGTGCGTGCCCTAAAAAATAATGTCAGTTTTGCAAAATTGAAGGATAGAGGACACACATTTGTGCGTGCCCTAAAATTAATGTCCAACGAAAAAAATTAAAAACGCGGAAGGCACATAAATTTAAGTGGGGGTCGTTTAGAGATGTCGTTTTATAAAATTTTAATACGCGCGTCCCTCTTTCATGCAACTAACGGGGGAAACCAAATCCCCAAAAAATTCAAGTACCCCGCCTTCCCCAAAAATGGAACCTCACAATATCTTTCATGGAGTCGGCGATTGGGATCTACGACTCCTCAAACTCGAAACTCCGGCGATTTTAAGGCTTTTCTTGTCCCCGATATCAAAGAAGCACTAGGGTTTTTATGCTCTGGACCTCACAAGTGCGCACCCATGAACTAGGGCTTTTATTAGCCAATCGCATTCATTTTCACTGTTGTTGGTTCATTATCTAATCGCCAACCACTGCTCGCAGCACTTGGCCGTCGTCAGTTTGTCGTTTCCGCCGACGATTATGCCAAGAGAAACTACGCCAACAATGTGTCATAATACAATACCGTCATTGGATCTCTCAGTTCTCAAAGAATGTATGTCTCTCGCCGCTTTTTTCCATTTCTTACTTAATCAACAACAGCACACCCTTTTTCACTCCACTCTTTCTCTCTCTACAAAACAACCAAGAAGCAGCAATAGTAGCACAAGAAAGATGGGCAAAGGAAAAGGCTCATCCCTAGTTCATCTTCTAGTTATCATCTTATGCTTAGTTGCTTTTGGTTTCGCCATTGCCGCCGTAGCACTGTACTTTCTCTTTCTCTCATCTAAATTTGAACTGTTTATGTTGATTTCATCTGTAAGCTAGGGTTTTCTGCTCGATTCCTCTGTTCACATTGATTTTCTCATGTTTAGCGACGATTATATCTGCTGACTTGCTAAATGAGTTCGTCATTTCAATTCCATTCTTCTGCTTCATGAGATCTAGGTTTTTGAATACTAAAGCTGCTCTGAACCTTCACACAATTTTTAGTGATTTTTTGCTTGTAATTGTTCTTAGAGTTCTTCCATTCTGTTTATGCAGTTCATTTTCAGATAATCAAAACTGATGATGATCGTGATTCGTGATCACTAGGTTATTGAATTTGTGCTTTATTGATGACAGGGAACCATTCGCACAGATAATGCAACCAATTCCACTTACTGCGTGTACGATTCAGATATAGCAACAGGCTATGGCGTTGGTGCCTTTCTGTTTCTTCTCTCAGGTGAATCCTTACTCATGGGAGTAACCAAATGCATGTGTTTTGGAAGTCCATTAGCACCTGGTGGAAATCGAGCTTGGACCATCATCTATTTCACATTCTCACTGTAAATCTTTCAACATATATACAAAATAAACAAACTTTTTTGTCCCAATTCTTGAAACTTGAAACTAAAAAGTGTTATCTTTTTGCATAATTTGGAGGCTGAGTTTTGTGGTTGCAGAAGCTTGTTTGATAGCAGGGGTAAAGAAGAATGCATACCATACTAAATACAAGGGTATGACAGAAAGCTTTTCATGTGATACATTAAGGAAAGGTGTTTTAGTTTGCTTGTGATCTTTGTTTTTGTGGGTATTTTTCTGTTGGATGAAGTTGAGGGTTTGTTTCTTTTGGATTTAATGAGCTAAATAGGTTAAGTACTTAATCTATATGGTTATAAGTGGTTGTTTCTTTTTATATTTTTATTTTTTTAATCCGGATATCTAGATAGAATGAGTTAATGGGTTAAGCAAAAAAGTGGCTTAATGTATCAAGACATCAATACTTTACTTCTTCCATTTGAATATTGTTGTTGGAAGGTAAGGGTAAAGTGGCTTAATGTCTGAATACAATACCGTCATTGGATCTCTCACTTCTCAAAGAAGGTATGTCTCTCGCCCTCATTTCACAATGGTTTCATTGTTTAATCATACACTTTACCTTTAAGGTTTTCTGAGAATTCTGAATTCATGAATCTGATAGGGATGTTCATTTATAGGATTTACTTTTTGAGGGATGTATATGATGATATGATGTTGGATGGAGTGAAACCAGAGAAAGATACATTTCGCGCGCTGACTACTGGTAGCATGAAAAGCGTCCGTCTACAGGACTGTTTCTTCTTCCGTGATCAAATGAAATCCATGGGTTTGATTCCTGATGTAAGCTTCTAATGATCGAATCTCTGCCTCCTGTTACTTTGTTTTTAACAGTTAATTGTTTCGTGACGTTGTTCATATTTGTTACAGGTTGTTTTGTATAACTTCATGATCTCAACATGTGGGTAGTGTAAGAACTCCACTGAAGCAACACGGGTATATAGTATCTGTAACTCTATATCATACCTTCATAGATTTTCATCTCCTAACCATTTATTGTCTTGTCTCTTTAACTAAAGATCTTTGAAGAAATGAAGAAGCTTGAAGTAAAACCTACTGGACAAACATTTATCTGTCTGATCAATGCATGTGCAGCCACTGGCAGAGTATATCAAGTGTATGCATTTCATTATCTATTTATATGTCAACACTTCAATAGATACATATTATGAATGATCATATAATATTACATTACCATTTTCAGATATGCAGTTATTCGTGATATGACTCCTGCTGGACTTGGTTTAAACAAATTCTGCTATGTGGGACTTATAGTTGCACATAAGAACAAGAATCCATTAGCCAAGGACACATCTGCTAAAGTAGTTCTTGAGCTATCTTTATATATTTTTTCCCAGTTTCATAAATTTAAATGTTTTTATTTTTTATGAAAAAGATCTTGGAGCTTGTTGAGCAATCCAAAGGGTGGTCTTCACTAAAACAGACTAGGCAGTGGATGCTCTTCAGGAGATGCTTAAGAAAGATAACAAAAATCCTGATGTTTTCATACTGATTCAAATCATGAGGTGACTAAGTTGTAGTAATATTGATAATTTGATATTATCAATTCTTTAAAAAAAAGTACTTATCTATGATGATTATTGACATTTAGGTGTTATCTGAGTTGTGGAGATATTGATCGTGGGGTCAAAGCTTTTAAAGACTACATGAGCTCAAACAATCCACCTGTACCAGAGCTTTATGCTGTAAGTTTAGGATTGTACATAATTTTTTTTAAAATATGGTCTTTAAATCTTTATTCAAGCAGGCACTTAAATCTTTAAAAAAATATGGTCTTTAAAAAATATGGTCTTTAAATCTTTACTATGGGAGTTTTTTCAAAGGTTAATAGTATTACATTAAGCTATTATAAACATTTTAGCATATCTCATCGTATTGATTTCGTACAACATATTAAATGTATTTATTGATAATTAGGACGTGATTCTCTCACACACACAAAAGGTCAAAAGAATTAGCTATGTTGTTATTTTTCAGCAGATTGGATTACAGTGTTTTACGTGTATAATTGGATTGTTACTGTATCTGTTATAACTCGTGCTTGTATCTATCTAATTAACTCCTGATAAATTTTAAAGAGTAAATAGAAGTCACTGAAAACATTCGTGATCTAGAGAGATAGAAGTAGAGGGAGGAGGAGAATCATATTGTGTGTTATATTATTCAATCCGATACACAGGAGAGGCATATATATACTCATAAACCACCTCCTTTGACCAATGTGGTTTGACATTGACCTTCATAGTAGTCTAACATAACTCACTAGAGATGATTTGTGATTGTTTGTAAATGTAGCAGTGATTTTAACTGTTAAATAATGTGGATTTGTGTATTCATTTTAATCCGCTTGATACATAACTGGGAGTTTGTTGGGGAATGCAGATGGCATGATGCAGCAAACACTGGTATGAAAATTTCTATTGATCTCTGTGGTTTAACAAATGTTATGTATGCATACAATATTGAATAGAAATAATCAGAAATGCATCTTTAAATAAGATCTGACATGACCTCAATGGTTTAAACCCTCTGGTAATTAATACAAGTCTACAAGGATTATTTAGTAATTTCATCTGAGATATTGGATATAATTGGAACTTTGGCCATAATCTGTTCAAATAGTTAAAAGAAAATGTAAAAACATCAATTTTCAAGATTCACTACATGTTCATAAAAATTGCTATAAAATCTATTTTAACAGGTTATCCCACCCAAACTTATTTTAATTTTGTCACACACCCACATTTTATAATAATCAAAGATATTATGTATGAAAATAACATGTGTCTTTTGTTATTTTATTATTCAGGTTTGAAATTCTTGACTTTTGACCAAGCTTTTGCTGAGAAGCATTATGCTGATTTGTAAGCTTTTGCTGAGAAGCATTATGCTGATTTGCTGAGAAGCATTATTATTCATGACTTCTTGACATATGATAAGAGCAGGCTTCCACCAGGTAAGTATGCTATCATTCATGGTTGATATATAATATAAGTATGATATCATCCATGGTTGATGGTTGGATTGTTGGATTGTCCTGTATATGGTCATGAAAATTCTCCATGAACAATGAATGCCATTTTGGTCTCTCAGGTATCTGCCTTGCCTTGCCTTTTTTGTTGTTATTGATAGTGGGCTTTTTGCATGCTAACACGAGCTTTTCCAATTCCTAAATTCATCCAACATTGTATGTTAATTGTGTCTGTTATCTTGTATTTCCATGCTAACATGAGCCTTTTTATCCTTGCATTTCTTTACGTTTCTTTCACTGATCATTCCTTGAGTGTTATCCCTAAATATTACTATCAAATCAAATAAGTCATCAAAGTCCCTCACAAGTGTAATTTCAGATTAGTCACAGCTTTTAGACACACATCTGTCTTTCCTCCAAGACCTCATCCTTTATTAAATGGAACCAAAGTTGGAAATAAAATCAACTCGACATGAAGAATAAAAACAAAAAAAGTTTTTCAAGAGATTAAGCCTCATATGACAACATTAAAGAATAAAATTAACTCAAATATGTGATGACAACAAGTTGTTAAAACTAGGTTAATTCTCAATAATAATGATAGTTCAATAGTAATTAACAAATTATAATATGGGTTTATTTTCTAATTCTCTAACTTGATTACTTATTTTTTGTAGCTTATGGGAAACATACTTTACTACTATTGAAGAGCCTATACAATTGTGGTGACTGAAGATGGCATCATGTGGAAACAGAAGCATAACAATAAGAAGTAGAAACAAGAAGGTGTTCCTTAATAGCTATGTAGTATTAGGTTATATAGTTAGGGAAAACCTCTTAATAACAATGTACAATCCGATCCCCTTAATACCAATGTATTACAAAATTTTGACATGATGTTATGGATGAAATTGATTGTTTTGGTATATATTTGTTCCATATTTTTGTATTATGCGTAAATGAGTATTGTAAACACGCGTCGTAAATGTATATTGTAAATGGTTGCTGAAGTTTATGACACACAAATGCGTGTCATCTTCATTTATGACAGGGGCTTTAATGATACACAATGCGTGTCCTAAACGTGTGTCGCAAGGTTACGACACACAAATGCGTGTCGTCTTCCTTTATGACAGGGGCTTCCTTGATACGCATTGCGCGTCGTAAGCGCACGTCGTAAATGCGTGTCATAAATGCACGTCGTAAATGTGCGTCGTCTATAGACGACACGCAAAAGTATGTCGTTTCTCGTTATGACAGAGCCTTCCTTGACACGCATTTGTGCGTCGTCTGAGCGTTTTACGACATGCATTGCGCGTCGTAAAAGGCTGTTTTCTAGTAGTGTTCTGATTTGCAGGGGCTAAGAAGAAGTGAGGAGGTGGATCACGATAGAATAAACTTGATCATGGGGAATAGGCGATCTTCACCTGTCACCAAGATTGGAGTTTATAGTCTAGTGCTTAGTAATGGTGTTAGTTTAGATTTAATGTGTTGTTGTTACTCCTTAGAAATGACACGAAACATTATTTGTTTTCATGCATTTTTCAGAAAAGGTTTTAGATATTCTTTTAATGATGAGAATAGTGAGAGATATATTTGAATCAATTTGAACCTCGAAGTGAGAGATATATTTTCATCGGCTACCCATAGAAGTCCTTTTGGATATTTGTTCTACAGACGTAGTGAGAACGTGGTCTTTGTAGCACGAAGATGAGTCTTTCTCGATAAAGAGCTCATATACAAATAGGACAGTGGGAGTACCATTGATCTCGAAGAGATTCAAGAATCAAACGGTGAAGGAACCTCTGAAGACGCTAGGGTTCAACCAGAGGAAGAAGTTCCAATTGAACCAGTTGACGAGTCATTACCTCTTAGGCATTCCGGTAGAGTTAGAATGCCACCTGATTTCTATGGTTTCCATATTACTACAGATGGTGACACGTTTATCAGTGATAGTACACTGGTAAATTTGGATGAACCGGCTAACTACAAGGAAGTAATGGCAGGCCCTGAGGCAGCCAAATGGCAAGAGCCAATGGACAGCGAGATCAAGTCCATGTATGACAACCAAGTTTGGAATTTGGTTGATAATGTACCAGGTCATAAGACAGTTGGGTGCAAATGGATCTTCAAGAAGAAGGCCAACATGGATGGAAAGGTACACACTTTCATGGCTCGACTGGTTACAAACGGATTTACTAACACCA